CTGTTACTGATGCTATTGGTATTGATATTTCTGTTGTATTTGGTTTTTTTTTTCCATTTTAAAATACCTTTCTTACCCAAGAATTTTAGTTTACATTATTCATAATTATATCTTAATGAATAAATTATGTCCATTTTCTGTTAAATATTTTGTGAGAAAAGTATATAAACTTTTTTTAGAAGCTTCTAAAATTATATATATATTTTTTTTTTCATTGAAACGTGTGATTTAATATTAATTTTCCAGACAGAGTTACTGGACACATTCTGTCTGAACCTGCACAGAATAGACAAGGATGTTCAACGATGTGATCGCAACTACTACTACTTCAACGAAGCAAATCTTGAGAAACTCCGTAACATTATGTGTACGTACGTATGGGAGCATCTGGATGTGGGTTATGTGCAGGGCATGTGTGACCTGGTTGCTCCCCTTCTTGTCATCTTGGATGATGGTAAGTTGTTACAGTAGTTTCTATGTATCAGCCTAGATAGGGTAATTAGCCAACCCTCTTTACGCCCAATTGTATGTGCAAGCCTGTACTCGGGCAAAGCCTAGTGTAAGATTTGAATGAGTAGCTTTTACATAATATGTGAGCTGTCGTGACAAGTCTTGTGGTACGCCATGGTCAATTTGATATATTCAAGAAAATATATCTGAAGTGATATTTTGACAAAAATTGGGTTTCAGTTTTTCTGATCAGTTTAATATGTATATTTCATAATAGCAAAAGTTCTAAGTTGATTTACCGAAGGTAGTCATGTTTTTGAGGCATATTTTGTAAAGCTATTTTTCAGAATTGATAGGAAAACCAACACAAAATATATCAGTTGTTTATCATCACGTTTTTAGACATCTGGGGCTGGATTTATCAAAAGCTTAAATTCATCTTTAGTCCATTTTTTTTTTGCTTAAGTCAAATTTATCAATATTGCTTTAACTTAAAAAATTGCTTAAAATTAAAAAGTCGATTGTACGTATGAACCATCTAAAACAATTTTTAAGCTAAGATTTTGCTAAATTGGTTTGATAAATAAGCTTAAGATATTTGCTTAGGTAGTATTACATACTCCAAGTATCGAAATGCACGCCATCATGTCGGGATTCAATATTTCGACATTAATTATGTCATCATCAGGAATGAAAAATTATCCATATTTGCAAGCTTATATGCACATTAATATTGGTAAAACAGATAGATGCTTAATAACTAGACTTAAAGAACATTCTTCACGATCAGATAGTGTTATAAATGATCATATACAAAATTGTGAGGCATTCCAATATGTTTTATGTTTACAAGGTATACTTGAAAATGATAATGTATCCTGTAATGTAAGTAATAAATTAGGTTTAATATTTTCTAATACTAACATTATTGACTGTTCGCAAAATTTGTCTATACTATTGTTTAAAGAAGTGTTTGGTGTAGTAGGATACACCCATTGCTTAACAATGGGCTGAAAGCTTCAAAGGAGCTTTCTTTGTTTTTGTAGGAGCTTTGATCAGTAGGGTAAGAATGCTTTGATCTTTAGTTTATTCATAACTATGTCACCTACTAGGGGTAATGTTTTGATTGATCAAACACTTTTGGTGCATATATCAAATTTAATGTAAATCCAGGACCTGATTTGTTGTTGACATAATGTGCACACATTGGCATAACTAATAATATAAACAAAATCTCCATTTACTCAGAGATTAAAGGTGCACTATCTGCAAACTTTTAAGAAAAAAAAAAAAAAAATCGGAAAAACCCTCAAAAATTGAGTTCACACATTGAAAAGCTCATTTAAAATAATCAAATAGTTAGTACTTCAAACTAAAAACAGATTGAGCGAAAATAAAAGAGTTTTTACTTTAACAGATATTTTACTACAATAATAATTAAATTCATTACCAGTCAATTTAAGGGTTTATGCAAAGCATATGTATTATTTTAACTGTCCTTTCTCATTCAAATTTTGAATTGTATGGTAATAACTGACTTAAGTACACAAATTAATTTAAAATATGGGTTGAATTTGTCAGTTTATTTAGCAGACAGTACATCTTAAAAATAATTGTACATATTTGTCCCCAAAATTATTACCTATGACAATTTAGTTTAATGCTATCTACTATACTGCCTATTTCATCATTGTGTAAACAAAATTGCTTGCATAGGAACCACAATTTCCACAGTGGTCTTGTTTAAATCATTTTTATCTTCAAAATAATAATTTACTTTGATTTCTTTCATTGTAGAGTCAAAGACATATAGTTGTTTCTGTGAATTGATGAAGAGGATGTCTAAGAACTTTCCTCATGGTGGCGCTATGGATACGCATTTTGCAAACATGAGATCTCTCATTCAGGTACATGGTATAAAAATAACTATTGTGCAATTGCAATTATCTGATCTTCCAGGAATTATAAGCTACATCTTCGTTGCCGCTTCTGTACTACTGATATATGATCTCAGACTTATATAAGATAATGATTTCTGTTTCGTTATGCTTGGCCATAGACACTGTTACCTGGAAGTTAAATAGAAAATTAGCTTGTTCTTGAATACAATGTTCCTCGCTGTCTGCTTATTTTCTTCTCTTTTTTGGGGGGTCCCTAGCTCTTTATCTCCTTCCCTGGATCCACCCCAGCAATTCAATCAACTCAAGTAGTTGAAAACTGTATGTTTTCAAAATTTTACTGTTATTAGCTTCTAAATGAAAATTATAACATTTTCTCACTGATTAAATTGCCGGTAATCACCAATGGAGTGCCAGGGACTCGGGACCCTTTTAGGGGAAACCCTGGACCCCTTTGTAGAAGAAGCCAGTCACATCATCAGGGAACACAATTTTACAGTCCTAGGGTGCCATTTCCTTGCACATAGAGGTGACTGTCTTGCTCACTTTAACCCTAACCATATAGCTGAGGTGTGTATCCCCCTGTCTGGAACCTTGGCCCCTCATTGGGTGGAGGGTGGGGGTGGTCACTGGTACTGCTTAAGGTAATCACTTTATGTCTTTAAGCTACAGTTTAATGTTTGGTATAACAATTAAACATGTAAGTGAAAATGAAAAAGTAGGAAAATAATAATAATTGATTATCAATTTGATATGTGATTTTGACGATTTATTTTTATTTATATTTTCAGGTTTTAGATGCAGAGATGTTTGAACACATGCATCAGAATGGTGACTATACACACTTCTACTTCTGCTACAGATGGTTCTTACTAGATTTCAAACGAGGTACTGTATTGACTAGCTTTTTTTCTATTTGTTTTTCGTTCTATTCCATTTGCATGTCACTGTTCAAAATAATCCAGTACTCTTCAAAACATATCAGATACTGTACTCTTCTAAAAGCCTGCTGCACATGATGAAATTGAGCTTAACACGCTTGCATGCCAAATATGTACATAATTTTCACTTAGTGGACTGAATACACTCGTGTATGCATAAATCCAGTGCCATGCAGGGTGGAATATACTAGTGTGCGCTGTAGAACATTTTAAGTGTGTTGTGGGGCTGAGTACACAAGTGTGCATAAATCCAGGGCTTTGCAAGACTGAATTCACTTGCGTGTACAAAATTAGAAGTGTGTTGTGGGACTGAATACACATGTGTGGGCATAGTTTTCACTAATTCGCAAGCAGACTACACTGACATGTGCATAATTTACAGTGCCTTGTGGGTCTAAATACACTCATGTAAAGTATATATGCCCATTGAAGCTGAATACACTTGTGTGTATTGTGGGGCTATATACACAGATGTTACTAAACTGTATTGTGTGCCCTGTGCAGTGGTTGAGCTGAATTTGCTTGTATATAACATCAGACTTTACAGTACTGTATGTATTAAAATATCAAGTACAACTGATGCTCCTTACAAATGCATGTGTTTTTATATTCTCCAGAGCTTCTTTATGATGACACATTCAGTACATGGGAGACAATATGGGCTGGAAGAGCAGTGGCATCTCACCAGTTTGTACTCTTTATCGCTCTGGCCCTTGTAAAAACCTACCGAGAGATTATTCTGGATAACAACATGGATTTCACCGATATCATCAAATTTTTCAATGGTGAGTATTATTATTATTAAATGAACATAATGGTGACAGTTACAATGATAACAGATTGGTTTGAATCTGTAGCTTGTGGCAAAGATTCTAGAAACACAAGATAGAGTTCTTCACAGCATAAAACTGTTCCACCAAAATGCATGGTGGAAATATAAACGGTGGGGCACCGCATACAGTTGAATGTAAAAAGCCTTACATTCTGTAAAAATTACATTGATCTTTCCTCTACCCAATGAATTGTGGTTTTTCTTCCCGACGAGGAGGGGAATGCCAGCTTTCACCAATGGGTGACCAGGCCACTCCCCCCACCCCAAACTCATATTCCCGGCCCTGTTCTGATTGGTTATTTGTCAAGCTTAATTGACACTTCAGAAAGGACCATTGCACATTTTTGAAATACTGTATAGTGAATCTTCATGTTTTTATTGCTGTCTACTTGTAGAAATGGCTGAAAGGCACGATGCTAAGGCGGTACTACATATTGCTAGAGACTTGGTCCATCAGGTGCAGACACTTATAGAAAACAAATAAGAGATATAGAGATTTACAGTCAGGTATGATCATAATGGTTGCTGGTGGGGTTGTCAACTAGATCAAAATCTGTTTGGATTATCAAAGAATCAACTAGATTATCATCAATACCTGTATAAGCTGTTGGGATTATCAAGTGATTAATTGATTCAGTTTTGAAAACCTTGAGATAATCATACTGTATATGATTAGTCAGTGTGCTGGGTAACACCTGGGCTAATCTAATCTACTATGGCTTAGATTAAATGTTGAATAATAGTATAGTCAATAATATTCCAAGTCATGTGACTTACTAGTCATGTGCCAATTCTGTAACTGTAAAGTTCAGGTTCAACTCATAGTGATTGTTGTTGTGTGTATGACAACAAACCGATACAATATCTTTCTTGATATTTTGGGTTTATGTTAGTAATCTATGTTATGTAGTGTGTGATATTAATGTACCGTACTGACTCAGGTTTATTCCCTTCCACTAATAACATGCCATAAATTTACATCCAAACTAGACCTCATGCTTTAAACATCATTAGCAGTTATTGGAAGTTTGAAAAATAGCAGTTATGTATGCATTACCATTGTATGATGTAAGTTTACTTGTATTGCATTCTCTTATGGCAATCTAATCTATATATTTACTTAACATAAGCTGTAAATTGTGGAGGTTTGAACAGATCTTGAATGTTACTTAGAACAAGGGGGTGGCTACACCCAGCTTAGTACGGTATGTTTAGATACATCTGTATCCATACAACATACAATTTAGTACACTTATAAAAGAATAAAAAATTCTTTAACACACAAACTACATGCATAAAAAAGTAAATATGTACATACTTACATATATACATGTACATTATAAACACATAAAATACAACCTGCCATAAAATAGTGCGTAATTGAATTACACAGCAAGTTTTAGGCTAAGAGTGACCACTCTACAATATCAGACTATGAATTTTATAATGCGCCTTCTATATAAGAGACTATTGACCACTACAAACCTATCCATGCATACCATTTACCATTGAAGTTAACCAAAGTTAAGATAGAAAGAAATAATATCATGCATGTTTCTACTGTTCTAAAGTGGTTTTTGTTGATATTACACTGCTTAAAATGAGGACTTGGTCACATTTCTTAGACAAACTTAGTATGTTTAAGGATACTAATACATAACACACTCTTCTTATTCCATTTTATTTTATTCCTGCAAAATGTGCAATTTTATCTTCTTTTGTATATATTTTCAAAGTAGCAACCAAAGTAAATTTTTTTAGATTTTCATTTTTTCATAGAATTTCTTTTTACCTGATATTCTTGTCAATATCTCATTTTACAAGATTTCTGTAGATTTTATCTTGTGTACAAGATGTATTGAAGACGGTTGAAATAATTTGGATAGAAAACTAAAATCTATCACTTGTCAGCAGTAAAATGAAAATCAACAATACAAGAAATGTATGGCCAATCGAATGAATGGAACTTTGCACTAAGCCCCACCCCTTGGATATTGTTGCCAAGGACCCACAAAACAATAGCATAAATGTACACAAACAAATGTGATCGTTGGACAACACGTGATTGGTCAGTGTTTGATTAACACTCTGGAAAGGCCATTGCAAGTGTATTAATTATATTTATATTAAAAAATGAAAATTAATTGTGTTGTTTATTGTGGAGATTCACATTTTTGCTAAACCACCTGCTAAAGATATTAAGCATAATATATATATATATATATATATATATATATATATATATATATATATATATTTAAATAATATTTCTTATACTCTATGAAAGTAATATCCACCTGAAAGAATCTCATGAAACTTAGGTCGGTCCAGATTATCAAATTTTCTTTGAAAAAAATGTATGCCCATATTTAGTCATGATGTGCCTTTATATGGAAATGACCACATTTAGGCGTGTCACATATGTTTTTGTCCAATGAAATTTGACAGTCTGAACAGACCTTGAGTTGTATTATGTTAAGAGTGACATTGGTAGTGTTTGGTCACCTGTATATAGTACATATGTATTTGATATTGTCTATATATTTTGAGAGATATTTGTCTGCCATTGTTTTGTAATCCTATTTTTTAGTAGATTCCCATTGAGAAATGTTATAAAAACAGAGCATTTAGAAAACTTTATTCCAAATCAAATGCATCTATTCTATTAATTTGACTTTACAATGTATATTCTTTTCTTTAATTTTTTTTTTTAATCAGCAAAGCATTTAAATTATCTATAGTTTTCTAAAATTTTGGAATTAGATAATGTTTGAATCTATTATAGTTCAATTCTCTCTCTCTCTCTCTTTGGAACACTACTTAATACTGGTAAGTTTTAAATCTAATTTACATTTGCTTGTATCATAGAGTTCCAAAAACCAATGCTCAATTTATTTAAAGCACTTTCTTGTTTTCTTTCAATTGAATACATTCCCCAATCTTGTCATTTTTATATTGTATTTATTTTTTTTTTTTTTGGAAAATTATATATTCATATTTTTGTTCATTATTTATTCATATTAATGCTCTGTAAAATTTAATTTACGAGCAAAAGAACTCCAAATTGTGCACAACATGAAAAAAAAAACATTCTTCCATATAATGCAACTTAATGTATTTAAAGATATTTATTAAGGAGCAATCCCTCATATTTTTCTCAGTGCCAGTCTTTGTAGTTCTTGTGTGTGTGACCCCCTGAGACTTTTTGTCTTTGCAAGATTATTAGTACTGTACTTAATTGCCTATTACATACAAACCCAGTAGCCACTGTCAGAACCCAGTCAGTGTAATGCATATTATTATTATTGGTATTATCATCAAGATAATGATATCCTACACTTCTCAATAAATGTATAAAGGTGTTTGCTGCCCTCTATAGCAACTATAGGATAATCTCAAGATCTCTCTGAAGTTACTTGTAAACATCCCATTGATTCTGTTTTTAGCTGTTATTTTTTCAGTAAAATACAATACTTCAAAGGCAACCTTAGGTAGTGTTTTTGTGATATGTTTTTTTTTTCTGTTAGCATTGTGCTTGCTAACTTAACATCAGTAATGTGAACTGTGTGCAATAATAAATGAATGTTGTATGGAACTTGTTATTCTTTTTGTATTCCACTGTCAATTCAAGAACATCAGCAAATTCTCTCAAAGTGTGTCTTTGTACAGTTTGTCTGGAAATGGCCATCATCACAGATGCTGAAAATCTTACAATCCTACCAAAAGCAGGACCGTTGGCATTCTGTACTTTATAAAAACAGCTCCTCAAGATGTGATTTGCAACATTACTGTGAATAAAAAGTTGTTATACCATTAATCTTGGCTGAAATGATGATTTTGTATTGATACAAATACTGTATACAAAAAAAAACACAGATTACAGATTATGGGATATAGTACATTATGATGGAAATAATGGATACAGTACATTGTAACAAGGATAACACCAGGCCACTATTCAGTGGGTGTGATGGATGTGTAAGCAATCCACAAATCAAAAAATGTCCACATTTTAAAGAAAATGTAGTTTATAAAAACTGTATTATTTTCTGTAAAAACATTTTAACCAACTGATATATATTGGAACCCCTACAATGCCATAGCTTTGATACAAGTGCAACCCCCCCCCCCCCATCCTGACTACAGCCCTGAACACAAAAGTTCGAAAGCAACTTTACTTTGCCTTTTATTTATAAAAAAAAATGTAAAATATATACAGTATGCACACATAACAGTAAAATTACAGGAAAAAGCATAGGATTTAATAAATCATCATACTGTATACAAATGACCTGCTCAGACAGTCATAGGAAGATGTAGGTTGTGCCAGAATTTTTAAATTAAGCAGCACAGCACAAAACCTTTTAAGCAAATAATGTACTGTATTAATTATACTGTTACTTTACTGTGTAAACTGTGCAATTTGTACAGCAACTCTAAGCCCATTTAGCAGTGCAGCTCTAGACACTCACAATATCAGCTGCTGGTCTACATAAATTCACAGTGAACACAAATACTCTCTGGAGTGTCAAACTTACTAACCGAACCATCAGAACAGGGCAAGAAACACATGTTGTCCCACAAACACCGCAAGTTTACATACGTTAACACTTTCTGTGGCCTTGGAACCAATATTCAAGGGGTGGGGCTTAGCGGAAGCTTCATTATTGACAGCTTATTCAGTGTCCATTAAAACAACATACACCCATACTTAATTCATTGAGCCACTCCATCTTCGAGTCCCCCCATCAGCCCCCCCTCCCCACCATTTCAAGACTACTAGGTATGCCACTGTATTCCACTCATATATCCTAGAAATAGATGGAAGTATTTGATATTTTTTGTTTAGGTAATTATATAAAGTACTTCTAATAATTATATATGTTGACAGTCTTGCCTAATTGATTCGCTACTGCGACTCTCCTTGGATTTTCCGAAACAATTGCTAAACCTTTGGGTATAAAGAGTTCATCTACTTTATCTATCCTTCTGATGAATTTGCCGTCACTGTTAAATAACTGTAGTTTGTTAAAACTTGTCACAATTATGTTGCCGTCCTTATCTACTGCAACTGCTTTTGGATAAGTCACCTTACCATCATAATCACCTGTATCTACAAGAACCTTCAAAAATCTGCCTCTACAATCAAACAACTGGATTCTGTGAATATCTACAATAATGAGATTTCCATCTTTTGTTACATTGACGTTTCCTGGGTTATGCAGTTGGCCAATCTCTTGACCATGTGATCCTATTCTTCTGATCACCTGACCACTGTGTATATCAAATGTTAACACGCAGTGCTCATCCCTGTCTGCAACATACACTTCATTGGAATTTTCATCCACATCAATGCCTGAGGGATCTTTTAATACTCCCCCACCAATTATTTTGGTCACAATGTTTTCACCATCTACTGTACAGAAACCAATGTTTTTATTTTTACCATCACAGTATATTATGGCATCATTATTCCTCATTTTGTATATCCAAGAGACATCACAAGTTGATGGTAGTGTGAGCGTCCCGACATACTCTCCTGATTGTTTGAACTTTAAAATTTCATTGGTCCTACCTGCAACTATGATACCTTCTTCAGATATCGCTACATCATGGACAATTTTATCACTTTTGATTGTCTTCACTAGACCTTGCTCCTCTATTGAGATTTTAACAGGAGATCCTTTAATTGGTTCACCACTCAAACTGACATTTAAATTCCAAACACCACCATTTCTACAAACTCCACTCACCATATAATTCCCTTCATCATTTCTGACAGTCTTCAATTCTGTTTCTTGTCCAAAAGATGTCAGTGTTGCTTTCAGTAAATCATCCTCTACCTGTATCTCAGATAGGGAATTGAGAATTTCAACATCAAATGTTTGTCCTTGTGTTAAAACTCTGGGTGCATTTGTTATTTCAAGACATTTTGCTTGCCTAGTCTCAACAATGGAACCTAATCCTCTTTGTTCCATTCTCTCTGTGTGATAGTGTTTGCGAAGGTACACATGCATTTCTCCGTCATCCTTTGGTTCGGTGTCTGGTAATTGCTGGATTGTTTTTTGTAGGGATGCAATTGCCTCAGGACCTGATTGCATAGCTGTTGCTTTATTGGCCTTCAGCAGTTTGTCAATGGTGCTCCATGTTCTGTCGATATCCAAAGTGATGGTGTCAAGTCCAGTAATTTGTCTATCAGCTCTGTTTTTCTTCTTTTCGTATATTTCATCTACATGGTTTATCAGCTCTTCACCATTGTCGGTAATCGTTTCAACCATATCTTGTACAAAATTTGTTATGTCTTCCTTACATGCTTTTCTATTTTGATCAAGTATTGTAGCTTTATAAAGAATCATTTTACGAGCTGTTTTTATTACTTGAGTTTGTTTTTTAACATCCTTTTCAAGTTTAAGAGCCTGGTTTTTTAATTCAGTAAAAGCCTGCAATATTGAGATAAGTTGGTGTTCTTTATTACTTTCATTGTGATCTGTCGTTTTGCAGGATACACAGACAGGAATTTTACAAGTTTTGCAGTAAAATTCTAGAGATTTTTTGTGAACACGGCAGATTGGCTTCGGGTCCTCCAGCTGATCAATCGTTTCCAATAGATTGTTGATGAATATGTTTGGAGGCAGTTTATGGAGTCCACCATCGGGAATGTGAAAGGATTGTAAACAGGTTGGACAGATCGATACTCCCTTCTTGTTGACCCAGTCTTGAAGACACAGGAAACAAAATGCATGTTGGCAGGGAAGTGCCTTTGGATCCTTAAGCCTGTTCAGACAAAGTGGACATTCCAATACATTTTCTTCCAAATTTTCAACCAAGTGGTGAAACTCAGTCGACCTACTGCTGGAAGCCATATATTTCAAACCTGAAAATTAGATGGAAACAATTGTAAAAAATTGTACATTTTCTTTGATAGTAGGCCATGGTTTAAAAGTTTTTGATACACAAAAAGCTCTTATACCAAGCTGTAAAGTATATACAGGGCCGCCAAGATCGGACACAGGCCTGGGGCATCTTTGCTGCCCAGATCCATTAGTTGGGGGCCAAGGGTCATCCCTTGGTGGGGTCTCTTTGATGAAACTCTTATCCCAAAGCCTGGATCAACCACTTTGACCACCAGCCTAAATGATTTTATAGGTTTATTAAGATATATATACAAAAATGGCAATTTTTGATCAAACATTTTCCACTTGCACGTTGATCTATTTTATGT